AATTACGGTAAGAATCACCACCTATGCAAAGCAAAATAACTTGGGTAAAATTTCCTTTGATATATTTCATAACACTAATCAATACAACCCATACATAATAATTCTTTTCTTACAATACCTAACTTGAATATCTAGCAGGAATACAACTCAGGGAACAATATATTAATTCAGACCACTTGAAAACCAATTTGTGTGGACAACGCTTCTTACATTTGGTGCAAAAGGGACGACACATCTTGTTGGGAAGAACATCCAACATGCGAAGAACGAAGAAGAATGATAAACCGGGCTTCATGTATAACTCCTTCCCTATCAAACATTCAATGTGTAGGGTGACACAACAATACTCATCACACTTATAAAACCGTCTCTTCGGATTCACTTCTCCCTCGCAAGCTTCACACCAATGCTTCATGGTACTTGTCCCCTCTCCATAAGAAAGAGTGAGCATATGCTTATCGTGTTTATACCTCACCTTTTGAGGCAAAGTAGCACACTTGAAACACAAAGCAAACTCACACTCAATGCAATTGAATGTTTCGTTATTAGCTTGATCGAAGTCTATGCAAACCCGACATATTCTTCGCTCTCCCGGTTTGGATGTTAGGAATAAAGGATGGATATGACTTCCATGGACTAATGGCTCTGAAATCGTGGCGCATTGCACGTGTAGCTGAAAACAACATTCTTTTTCAGAGCATTTATAGAAGAAACCAGCCGTGCACCACCAAGGACAAGCTGAACATAAATTCTCAAGATAATTCATAACACCGTCACACTTTGCCACTAGAGTGAGCAAATGTGGATGTATCGGGTTATATATTTTGCGAGGAAGTTTTGCACATGCCTCGTGTAGAATGAAATCATCACATTGCAAACAGTAGTAGAAGTTACCGGAATAGGTTGGCTTGATGCATGCTTGACACTGCTTGTTGTCGTCGTAATCTCTGTCCGTGTTCTCATCAAGTCTTAGATGATGATGTTGATGACTGAAATGTTGTATGACTCCATCGCTTATCCTCACAAACGGCTCAAGCACTTCTTCTTCTATTTCTTCTGGTTCTCCCTCAAGGTCTTTACCATCCCACACGTTTTTCTGTGTGGCACATTTCGAATGAGCCGCATACGAACAACCATCCTTGTTGCAAGAATAACCTCCGTAATCATTGTCGATCTTTCTGCGACAAACACCACAAGACCAATCTCCTTTTGTTAAAGAAGGGGTGAAAGAGATACGATGGAGATGGCGAGAGATCCTGATGACAAGTGGTAAGCTGAGGCAACTTTGATGGACCACAAAGCCACAGGGGGGGCATATATAGAAAGGAGAACTTGAATGGACCAAGGCACATACGCTGCAAGTTAAGGAAGCCTGACTTGAAAACAACATAAGTGGATGCTCATGCCACTTGGAAGGTTCTATCAATAATACCGGTGACTTCTGCACACAAGCTATATTCATAGCAAAATCGCAAGCCGAGCAATAATGAAATACCTTTGCGAGATTTACATCACAGCAATAGCATTCCCTCTTTGCACGAGACAATTGTGACAAGACAAGCTGAAGAGAATGTTTTGGATGAAGAGGGTGCTTGACTTCAATTGGAGCCTGCTCATATTCTTGATGGTTCTCGCCATTGCAACCTCCACAGAGAAAATATATAGTGTCATCTTTTGTTAACCTGAATTTTTTCCAGCTGCTAGGGAGACACTGCCACTTGTTATTGCTGCTCCCCGAGACTTCGGTCCCCACACAAAATTTTCCTTCTTCCAAACGAACTTGGACTTGAGGGCGTAAGAAAATAAATTTTCCCGACTTTGCATGCATAGAGATGACGAGGGAGAATATTTGATGGATGAGTGACATGAGCTCCGCTCCCGGATCAAGTTCCAAGCTTTCTACAGAGTTGATGACTTCACCAATGAATGTTAGGAGCTGCGACTGAGGCTTCGGCAGGTAATTTAGTTCTGTTGGGTTGATAAGAGAGATTATTTGAGTAATAAGTGACATGAACTCCGACTCCGGCTTCGGCAGGGAATCCAAATCGGTTGACCTGATCAGAGACAACATTTGAGCAATAATGGCTGATCGGAGAGATAGGAGGTCAAAATCCGAATCCGAATCTGAATCCGAACCCGTACTCATAGTGTATTTTGTAAATACTATTTGAGAAGTGAGGGAAGTGAGATCCGACTCTGTCTTCGAATCTAAATCCATAGAGTTGGCGAGAGAGATTATTTGAAAAAACAAAAAGAGTGGTATGAGAGTTTTTTATTTTGAATGTGACTATGAGACCCCAATAATATATATGAAAATAATTAGTTTAAAAAAATAAGGAGTAACTAGGTCAACTACAATATTACAATTAGCTAGCATTCGAGTTTCTACAATAATAATAAAAAAGAAAATGCGTGATGGAGGTAAGATGGCCTTTGCAACTTTCACATTTTCCTTAAAAACAAACTATTCATTAGTGTTTTTTTATGTTCTTGGCCAATCATTGAACGACCAGCTTTCTTGGAATTTTGATGGCGTCATGAACATTAAAACTTAGTGCTCTCCACGATGGTGCATGTCTGTTCTCGCGCCGTTTTTCTAAGTTAGTTTTCTATATTAGTCCCCGTAGCTTGCGGATCGTGGCTTATTATATGTATGTATACTGACTTAGTGATTTATAAGTCGTTCGAACACAAAGTCGATGATCGAGATTTAGAGATAAGAAAGTATCTACCAGTACAATATTTCTAGTAACAATTTTTATATATTCGAGTTTCTAGACTAATAATTTTTTTTGCTCAAATCTTGTATTAATGACGGTTAGGTTGGCCAATGCAACTTGCACATTATATTCCCTTCATTAACAATACAAAATTATTGAATGATCAGCTGTGACTTTGATGCTGTAGTAGTGTAGTGTACAATAAATTTACTATCGCGCCAAGGCTGAGTAGAGAAACTCAAAAAGGCACATGGCTTGGATTCAGTATAGAAACTCAAAAGGTTACACAGTTGGTTACTCTCGCGCCAGAAATCACTACAAAATCTAAGAAGCCTTTGATTGTACACCGGTTTCACTGGTACCATTGGCCATGGCATTGAGTGTCACGACATTTGAAAGCTGGACCTTCCAGTACAGTGCCAGTACCACCTAAACTGGTTCTTTTCGGTTATGATTTTACTATCGACTCAGAGTGGTAACTGGAGTGATTAAAAAGCCAAATCCGTCGTTTACTGTAATGTATATTCATAGTAGTAACCTATCCTGCGGTTGGGCTTGTGCATTTGATGTTATGTTGATTTTACATTAATCTAAATAGAGACTCCACACACAGAAAACTTCACAAGACTATTTCAAGAATCACAAATTGACTAAACTGAGCAAAATTTCAATGGAAACATCTCAATAACATTGGACAGGTCAGTGTTTGTTTACTAAGCAGTAGGATAAAAATCAAAACTTCATGTCGATCTCCGGTGGGAACAGCCGGCCACGGTGATTGAATATCATGAAATCCGAGTTATCTGGTAAAGACACCGCCCTACAAAAGTTTTGAAAGAACCAGTTAACAAAAGATATGTACTTCATCTAACAAAGACCAACTCGAGAACCCGAATGCATAAGAAGATAGGCGAGAGGTAGGGACATAGAACGAACAATCCTGTTTCACCTAAAGGTGTCCAAAATTTCCAAGGTGTGTGAAGGTATGCTCAAGCTATTCAGTAAGTGAGACTAACTGGTTGAATGTATTAAGGGAAAAACTGCTTAGGAGTTCTTGTAAAACACAGCTGTAATCAGACCAAATCTAAAGTCTAAGCTAGCAGATGTCTCCATTACAACCAACATCGGAGTGTTCCGCTTTCTAGACACCCTTAGCTCTATTCCAAGTTAAACAAAGTACTAGTAAAGAAACAAATGCATCCTTTAACTGAGACATTATTGAGATTATCTCTAAAGTGCAACAATCCATGAACATGAAATATATTGACATTCTCAGTCGATGGCAAAGATATGAAGTATAAAATCCCATGATTCAGATTGATAAACACTGATGCACAACAGAGAGTTCTAGAGACATCAATGGTAGACTCTCGAAACATCTCTAGAAACAGAAGTTCCTTAATGAGTCCATGAACAAACATCCATAGACCTTCTCAGTCAAAAGCAAAAATATTCACTAGAAGTTGCCAAAACCCATGATTAAGCTGAAAAACGCTGTAATTGGACCAAATCTAACTACAAGATGTCTCCATACGACTCTATTCTAAGCTAAACAAATTACGAAATAAGAAACAAATTCATCCTTTAACTTAGCCATCAATGTTGGAATCTCGGAACATAACAAATCCATGAACATATGAATCTAAGGACATTCTCAGTTACTACCAGAAATATTCACTAGGAAACATGATTCAGATTGATTAACACTGATGCACAACAGAGAGCTCAAGAGAATCATGTTCACAAACCTGTTTTCATCAGAGTCTGGATGGATCGAGAGAAATTTCCCAGGGAAAGTCAAAGCAGCCCACATACACAAAGCCAATCCAATGATCAACTCCAGAACAACCTAAAGAATTCCAATCACAACACATATCAAAGCATAATCCTGGTAATAAAACTCCACGAAAATTGAAGAAAAGAGAAACCTTTATCACCATATACTCACATTCATCGGTGGTCCAGAAAACTCTTCCTCAGTGATCTTCAACAATCCTCTATCTGAAACAAATAAGACAAAACCCACATCAAGATACTACAAGCTATCTCCAAAAAACACAAAGTAGATCTGAATCTATTGGAACTAGAACTGGATTCGGACAAGGCGACATACATTGAATTGTTGAATAAGCGGCGTGGGAGAGAATTAGGACACCGAGAACTCCAATCACAAACCCTAAATTCATAACTTTGTTTGATGGTGATTCTCTTTTCCTATCTCTGAGATTGTTCCCGATTTGGGTTTTTTTTTCGTCGAGGATTCTCCGCCGATAACTAATTAAAGTAATAGAATAGAAGAAGACGATCACTCGAGTTTTAAAAACGGCAGGTAGTTGTACTACGGAAAATCTCAAAATGACAAACGGCGCAACGTCTAATACCGAAGAGACCAAGAAACGACGCGTAGTTCTATACTGGGAAGATTTTTTTTTTTTGTTTTAATTAGACTAGATTAAGTAATTTAAATCAAGTATTAAATATCAAAATATCAATTTGATTAGATATTTATATGCAAACAATAATTATATGAGATTAATCAGCTTTGAATCATATTAGAGGATTCAGTTTAATATACACCAAAACAAAAAAAAAAATTAATATACAAAGGCAGTTAGGGGTGGAATTATTATCCGGGATCCGAGATTCGAAATCTGATCCCTTATCCATTCGGAATCGCTCCGAAAATTAGGATATCCGGAGAGCTCGGATCCGGATAAAGATAGTAAAATCTAGGATCCGTGAAAAGAGGATCCGAATCTGGATAGCAAAATTTTAAGGTTTGAATATCCGAACTCGGACGCATTAAATATATTAAAAATATATATATTATATATTTATTAAGCTAATTTTATATAAATAAATATATATAAAATTGATTTTAGTTCTTTTTATAATAAATTATATTTATAATGAAAAATACCATTAAAATATGAACTAATAATTTTAAAAAATATATTTTTATTTATTTATTTATTTATTATTTTAATTATTTTTTTATATTAATTT